CTGGTAAAACCAAAGGTATTGAGCTCATATATTTCAGAACTTGAAGACTAACCACTCTAAGGTCTGTGTTCAAGGAAAGGAGACTAATCGCTTCAATCCATCGTTGGGAAGAAATATTGGCTTCTTCACTCTCAATAATATATTAAAGAAAAGATGCAAATGCTCATATCTATCATCTTGTAATATTTTGTTGATCTGAAGATCAACCATCATTTCCTTGTATAAGGGCGTTCATGAGTGTTTCCTACTAAAAGCTCTCATGTATTATTTGAAACTCTCAAGACCAAGTTTTGAGGATAGGAGTAAGTCCTTTTAATTTGACCAAACCTCTATAATTCTTGGTGTTCTTCTTCTCTTAACTATTTACTTTATGTTGCTTAGTTTTTGAAAATGTTTTTAAACTCTTAACTTGTCAAAACCAAGTTTTTTCAAACCTCACAATTCACCCCCTCTCCCCTTCGTGTGTGTGAAGTCTCAATTCCAACAACATTGTATCATTCAAGTAAAATAGGAAATCTTTGATAATGTAAACCGAGATTCATTATCCTTTTAAGGTACCACATGACTCGCTCAATAGCTTGTCAATGCTCATTACTCGATATACTAGTAAACCTATACAACAATCCTACGACATATGTAATGTCGAGTTTAGTACAATATTTGTCATACCTAAGAATGTCAACGATACTCGCATATTCTTTTTGCCTGACATTATCACTAGTGCTCTTAAATAATTTTACAGTTGGATTGTATGGTGTGCAAGAGGGTGTACAATCAAAGTAGTTATATTTCTTTAAGATCTTCTCTATATAAAGAGATTGATCCAAAGAAATTCCTTTTTCGAATCTAATGATCTTGATTCCAAGAATCACACTCGCTTCTCCGAGGTCTTTCATATCAAAGTTGTTTCTCAATAGTGATTTCACATCATTAACGACCTGAATGTTTGATCCAAATATGAGTAGATCATCTACAAAGAGACATATGATAATGCAAATGTGATTCTCAAATTTGTAATAAACGCATTTGTCACTTTCATTCACTTTGTAGCCATTCGATATCAGTAGGTTATCAAAATTTTCATGTCATTTCTTAGGAGCTTGTTTTGGACAATACCGAGACTTATCTAACATACAAACCGTATTTCCTTGTTTTTCGATTGGTCCATATAGATTTCTTCTTATAAGTCATTATTTAAAAAGTTGTTTTAACATTCATTTGGTGTACTATTAAGTTTTAAATAGTAGCAATTGAAATAAGTACCCTAATGGATGTAATTCTAGAGATTAGAGAAAAGGTATCCAAGAAATCTATATTTTATGTCTGCCTAAAACTTTTGGCTACAAACCAAGCCTTGCATTTATCAACTGTTCCATCAGGTTTTAGTTCCACTGAAAAAAATTACCGGGTCGAGTCGCGAACAAGGTCGCTCTCTTTAAGACATTTCACTACACTGTCCAAAATTATACAAAGCAGACGAACTATCGCGTCGTCTCTAGGATAAAATAGCTCAGTTCTATACTATGCAATTACTACTTGCACGATAGATAATCAGTCTAAAAATACACCCTCTGATGGTACAGAGACCATTCAAATATGGTATAAATATCACTCGTAATATCTAGTATAAAAACCAATGATTTTTAATTCTCAAAAGAGAATTCAATAATAATCATTTGACAAATCAAAAGTGAAAAAGTTGACGTTTTAACAAATCAAAAAATGCAGAGTTACGAGAGTGAAAAGGAAAAACCTTAACAAAAAAAATTTATGGTGTATTTTAGAATGAAAGAAAGAATTTTCTTATATAATAAAATCAGCTAATTAAAATATGTCACCTAAACACTTTTTACTCTCCTTCAATTTAGGAGGAGTTGGAGGCAAGGGAAATTTTATTATTTAGTTTTATTATATTCTCTAATTCATCCTCAATTTTTTTTTTAATTCTAAAATTGTCTTTATTAAATTATTAAAACTATGTTTTTTTTCTCTCTTTTGTTTCACGTTTCATTTGCGACTGCTATCTACTCATTCTTGCTCTCTGGTAAGTTTTTTCTTTTTTTATTTTGTTGAATTTCTTTATTTTTCTTATAGTTTAATTTATGGTTCCGTTAACAATAGCACTTGTTCACTACTGTTGTCGTACATGTATAACTTGCTTTTGCTTTTTAAAATCGAGTGATGCTGTATGTAGTGAACATTGCGAATAATACGAATACTAACTTTCTTGTTATATTTATTTTGATGGTAACTACTGTTAGATGGGAAATTTTAAAACAAATAGGAAATTTCAAAATAACTTTTATTTATAATTATTTTTATTAAATACAAACGACAATATTTATAAAAATAAAAATAAAATTTAATTTTAAAATCTTTTCACTCTTCTTGTGAACCAAATATGTATGTTGTTAAAAATTTCTCCCTTCTCCTCCTTTCTTCTTCTTTGAATTAAATATATATTTAGTTAAATTTCCTCGTCTCTTTTCCCCTATAGGGTTGGGTTTCAGTGACTTTAGAGCGCCAAAGTCACCGTAACTTTGTGTCTCTCTCACACTAAAAAGGAAAAATCACACTCTCTTATTCTATTTTCCATTTTTTTTTTCATTTTCTCTTTCTTATTAGTTAAATACTTCAATTTCTAATGTTAGTCAAAAGCTTTGGAACTGCAGCATTGATTTAAAAGTTTTTATTATCAAAGCGGAATTAGGGACTAAAACTAAAAAAATAAAAAGATTTAGGGACTAAAACCAAAAACAAGTAAACTTACATGGATAAAAAAACTATTTAAGCTAGAATTCTAGGTTTGTGTTCATAATTTTATCCCCAACCTTTAAACAAACTCAAAAAATTTTCAAACCCAAAATTTTTCTTTTAACAATATCATGGTCTTTGAAATGAGTTTGATCATACATTGACATAGAAGTTTCGAGTCTAATAATCAAGCTCCATGGACGACGAGGTTGGTGAGAAGAGAAACATAAACATTGTGTGAAGAATGAGATAGGGAATGGAGGGAAAGGTATTTGCTTTTTAAAATAGAGTTTGCTGAACATAAGTTGAAGGTGAAAAAAATAGAAGTTGGAGATGGAGTTTGAAGGTGACAAAAAATGGAGGTTGGAGATGAATTGAGGGAGAAGATGATTTGTAAAATTTTTATTTTTGGATTTCATTCTTCCATGCCATGTCATTGGATGTTTGCGACTTCTGTTTTTTTATAATAAATTGTTAACGTCAAAGACTAAAACCAAATGAACCTCAACACTTAAAGACCTCATCCAAATAAATTATTTATGACTAAAATAAAAAATCGGTCAACTTACGGGGCCTAATAATTAATCACTAATGATTAATCATTCAAAAAAACTAATTACAATCAAGTTATATGAAAAAAATAACAGATAAAAAAATAAAAAATAAAAGCATATATCGATTGTACCAACTCCGATTAATTTGGTTTACCCCAAATTATGAGCTCAATCCAAATCAACCAAACTGCAACTTAAGTGATCAATGAGAATTTAACCTGTCATTTTAAAGATTAAACTTGACATTCCCATATGTTTTAATAATTTCGAAACTGCTCATGGATAAAAGTTGGGTCAAAAAGTGTAAACAAAATTTTGGATAATTCATTATAAATTTTCGATAACAAAGCAATTTTTTGGTAGTTCATGTTAAAATTGCTGGTATTAAATTATATCGATTTTAAAAAAATTCAATATCTTTAAACTAAGACCGGTATTTTGAAAAAAGTTCATGTTGTAAATATCAGAAGTTTCAAAATCTCCAATAAAAACTTATACGTTTATACTAGAAATTTTGAAATTTCTGATAAACATACATAATTTTTTACTGGAAAGTTCAAAATTTATGGTAAAAACTCATGAAAGCTATGCTTTTTTTATCGAAAATTTTAAAATTTTCGATAAAAATTCATGAAAACTATGATTTTTTTTCGGAATTTTTGATATTTTTGCATATGTTTTCAAAATTGCCAGTGTAACTTTGAAACTTCCAGTATTTGCTCATACTTTATGAAAAATTAGTAACTTCAAAAAAGAATATAACAATAAAAGGCACGCATGTTGTGGAGTGTCACATATAACGAGATGGTGACACATTAAATTCTCCAAATCGATACATGGATAAACCAGTTAACAGAATCCAACCGTTCAACGAACGTGAGGATTTAACATGACACCCCCAAATTTAAATATTACAAAATTACTTTTGTTGAGATAAAAATAATTTTCGAACAAAATTTCCGGTAGTGGTTTTGAAATTTTCGATACAGACAAAATTTCTGGTCACCCCTGTAAAATTTCCAATTTATGTAAATTTCTGATAGTGCATTTGAAATATCTGGTATTCCGGAAATTTCAAATTTATTAAGAAATACCGAAAATTTGAGTTATACTAAAATTTCTGGTAGTTCATTTATTCAATTTTTTAACAGTGATTTTATCGACATCTTTGGAGGATTTTAAATACACCGAAAAATTTGAACTACCCAAAATTTTAAAATTTCTGATACATGTTGCAAAGCTTCAGAAATTTCAAAATTTCCAATAAAAAAGATAAATATTAAACTAAGAAATTTCAAAATTTCCGATTAAAATATACTAGATATTTTGAAATTTCCAATATAAAATACCAGAAATTATACAAATCAATCGTAAATTACTTAGTATTTATCGCCCAATAAATTTAAAGAAAACAGTGTGGTACTGAAAAAATTTGAAATTTTTGAAAATTTTTTAGATTTGAATAAATTTAGTGTTTTCGTATCTTTTGAGGAGTGTGTTATGTATAATGTTAAATATTCAACTAACCGCATTTTAAAATATAAGGGTGTAATAGCAAATGTAAGGGGTGCTGATAAAAACTTTCTGTCATGCGTTGATCCTGAATCGTGGCCAGAGATTGTGTGTGTGATCTTTGTCAAGAAAATTATACCGAGGTTCAGCCTTCAATCGTATGATACAGAAAACGGTGAAATGGAAGTCGATGATGGAACAAGTGGGTCAAATTCGAGTTCAACAACCATAACCATAAGCGTGAAGTTCAGTGGATCAACTATCCCCATTTCAATCTCACCTCAATCAACCATCAAAGACCTCAAGTCCCTTCTTCTACCTGCCACCAATGTCCTTCCAAGAGGCCAGAAACTCATCTTCAAAGGTTTGTTCTTTCTTTCCCTATTTCACTTACCCCTTTATTCATTCATCTGTTAATTAAATTCAATACTGCATTTTTTTTTGTCAGGTAAGGTTTTAGAAGACCCAGTTACATTGGCAGCTTCAAATTTGAGTAATGGGTCCAAACTCATGCTTGTGGCTTCTCAGGGTTTATATCAAGGGGTATTGTTTATTCATTTTCTTCTTTGTTTTTGTTCTGGATAAAAGTTTCAATTTTTTATGTTTTTGCATGATGGGTCATTAACTAGTATATGATTCAATAATTATGTTCAATTATGGTTGTGAAGTGTTTGTGCTACACTATTCTATAGATGCAATTTTGTAGAGTTTGCTTTTGTTTTTGTTTTTGCTTCTTTTGCAGTCAGAAAAAGACAGCTTGTAGATTTTATGTGTTTTGTACAGGATGGTCCTGTCTTGAAGAAAGCTCAGGTTGTTCCTAGATCAAGGAAAGATAACCACTCAAGTTCTAGTAATGACGCAAAGAAAATTCTGGTAAAGAACAGGTCCGAACGGTGGAAAGTAACAGGAGTTGTAGCACTGTCAGAATGCAACTTGGAGGTAATCAACTCGTCGTGGTTTAATCATATATTCAACTAGACGCTTAGATTTTTATGTCAGCTTTAAATTAGGAGATGAGGAATGCATTAAATTTTACCTAAGGACGTTCTTTTGAAGATTTTTGTGTTGAATTTTGGTTTTCCATTGTGGTGTGAAATATTCTCTGATTTTTGTTTGAAATTTTAATTTAAATAGGCCATACCTGATGAGGTTTGGGTTTGTGGATCTTCTGCTAGAGTTCTAGATTGCAACAACAATATACTTAGAAATGTCCCTGTTGAAATTTCACAACTTACTCGACTAGAAGTAAGCTGAATTTCTCTCATTCTATTTCTTCATAAGTTCTGATGGCGATGCAATATTAAATCACAATTTGGTACTTTCAAAATGTTGCAGAAACTATTACTTAATGCCAATAACTTATTAGATGAATCAATTAACTGGGAAGGACTAAGGAATCTGAAGTATTTAACAGTACTATCATTGAATCAGAACCAGTGAGTATATATTACTTATTTTTCTTTTCAATTTGTGTTTGTTTTGGATTAACACACAATGCGACAAACTGTTATCTGCAGCTTAACTACTTTGCCATCTGTGTTGGGATCAATAAACTCTTTGAGGGAGCTACATGTCTCCAACAATGAATTGGCTGGTCTTCCTGATGAAATAGGGCATCTGGCACAGTTAGAAGTCTTGAAAGCCAACAATAATAGGTATCAATTCTTCTACCTTTGTATTTTAAGTATGTTTATTAACACATTCAATTGTAAGTTTGGTTAAATTAGTAAAATCCGGTTTCATTATTGTGTAAACATTGCCGTCTTTTTTTTAGGTTTCTGTGTTGGAAATTAAAGAATGTGTTGCATTTTGATTGATATGTCTATTTTTCTCAGGATGAGTAAAATCAGTGAATTTATAGGAAACTGTCGTTCTCTTGTTGAGGTACGGTTATTAGTCTTCAGTTTTCTCTATCCTCTTTTTCGTTTTACGGCTTTCCTTAATAGATGATGTAGCATTGGAAAATTCATTAGTGAAATGATAATATTCTTTTTCTTGTGAGATATTGCTTATTGAAGTTGGTTTTTTGTGGAGCAGGTTGATTTCTCATCAAATTTTCTGTCGGAATTGCCAGAGAAATTCTGTAGTTTTAACAACTTGAAGGTAGCCCGTTTCCCCATTATCACCTAATCGAGAAACCGGGATCAACAAATTCGAATCACAACGATAAGGAAAAACAAAGATATTTTTTATTTTTTTTACTCCATATTTGTGAACACTGCAGGCTTTGCATCTTAGTAACAATGGGATGAAATCCCTACCATCAAAGCTATTCAAGACATGCTTGCAGCTCTCCACATTGGATCTCCACAATACGGAAATAACTATCGATCTACTTCGTCAGGTTTGCGCTTTTTTCTTCCGAATGGTCTTTCAAAACTCAAAGTATTGCATTTCAAATGAATCATAGTTATGTCAGTTCATTGGAGCATAATGGCGAAATATATGATTTTCTTTCAGTTTGAAGGATGGGACAATTTTGATGAGCGTCGTCGCTCAAAGCATCAGAAACAAATAGAATTCCGAGTTGGAGTTTCTAGAGATTTTGATGAAGGTGCTGATAAAAATTAAATAGAAATCATTTTCCTTAACTTTCCACTTGTGGTAGATTGGAAATTTGTTATAGAATGTTATAGTGAAGGTTCTTGTGAAGGAAGAGATGCTTGGATCTCTAAAAGGGTTTTTGTTTTTTTATGGATGTTGTGAATTGGTTGTATCACCACATCTAAATAAGCAATTTATTTGTGATTGTCTATTATGAGGATCTAAAATATGCAAAATCATCATGACCACTAAGGTTTATCTTCTGAATAAAGAAATAAAAACTTATGTTCATTGAATCTGAAAGGCAACAAAAGATATTTGAATTTGGTTCCAATGTCATTGTGTATAGTTGGCAATTGAGTAGTGTTGCAGGCAAAATTTGCTATATTGGTGCAGATTTCTTTCAGAAACATGATTTTACATCCTTTAGTTTGTGCATTCATGATTCTCAAGGAGTGGTTTGTGATGGATGGAATCTATTGATGAACACAGCTTCTTCTTATAGTTAATGGCGAGGCCTTTGGGCTACTACTACACTATTCTAGATGGAGAATTTCTTTTTCCACTCTCATGCCATGGAAATGTCTAGAGTTCGGAAATGCATCGTCGGACACACTTATTTCACACAAATTTGAACGCAAACTAGCGAACCATTCCATTATACTTAATTTTAGTTCGGAGTTGCATCTCTGAAATTACATCTAGTATACTTCAGAGATGTATATCCAAAAATAGGTATAATATTTCAAAACAGAAATAGAGACATTATGAGGAATTTCTAAAAACCATAACAACTTGACATTAAATTAAAAAACTCACATTACATATTGTTATAAACAAGTAGCTCAGGACTTTGTAACATGATAATATTTTTGACAGATCTTGTAATTTTCACATCCACTTCAATCAGAGTCCTTTGTTGTATAATGGCGAAAGTTACTCCACATAACATCCAAATCTTCATGAAAGTTGTACACCACTAGCATGTTCAGCATATGACATGACCTTTAGAGACATTAAGGGAATACCTCGCCCGATTTAATGAATCTATCATTAGGATTGTCCCAACAAACCAAGAAATGTTCGTAAGGGTGTTTTAAAACAGTCTCAAGGCAGTACACTTCAGCGAGTCTATCGCTCAAAAGTCAACACTTTCGTTGGCAGAGGTGGTCACCAAGGCAGAATTTTACATAAAATGTGAGGAGGGCAACATTGAGAAAGAAGCATGAGACGTTACAGAGTGTGTTCCTAGTGCTGAAGGCTCGCACCACCATAGGAAGAGTAACTATACCTTTCTCATCAAGGACAAAATTGCATTCAAGCAAGTAGGCAAGACGGCAGAGAGTTTCACGCTTTTGAACACTCGTCGTGAACATATTTGGTGTAAGGTTTTTCACCTGTACAACATCCCTACACCTCCAGCCATAAAAAACAGACGTAATGGGGCACGGACCAGGTATATGGTGCAAGTTCCATAAAGTTGAAGGGCACCATACTGAATATTGCTACCAACTCAAGAACGAAATTGAGCGGGGATGCCCCAAGAAGTATGGCATAGGTGATTCCTCACGTGGGTCAAACAAATCAACCTCCCGCGGGCGAGATGGCGCAGGGAGCCCCAGGTCCAATAGAGTAAAAAATGCATCCGCAAGTGAGGATAACAAATTCGTGCACCATGGGCTCAATATTATTGAAGTAGGATTCAACAAGGACTGAGATACTAGCTCCTCCCGTGGTAGGTATGCCCGCCAAATATTGAATATAGAAAACCTCTCCAGTGTGGTGGATGAAGGCAAACTGAAGACGCTAGAAATGGAAATCCCCTTCTATGAGAAGGACGCACCCGACATCTACCTGCACAATGATGATCCCATGGTCATCATTGTTAAGTGTGGTGATTGGGAGATCAGAAGAGTTGTCATATACCAAGGAAGTTTTGAAAATATCCTATATTGGGATGTGTTTCAGGGCTCCACCTCGACCCAGATGAGCTAAACCCCTTTAAGGATTCTCTACTTGGATTCTTCGGGGAGCAGGTGAAAGTGAAAGGCTACATAACGCTAAAGACCACCCGAGGGAAGGAACAAGCCAAAGAGATTAAGGACAAGAATTTGGTTATTGATGCCTATTCTTCTTAGAATATGATTATAGAATATTCAATTTTTAATCAGTTGGGCATCGTCTTGTCTACTTTGTATATATGCATGAAGTACCCACTTCCCGACGGGCATGTGGGGGTTATTCAAGAAGATTAGGAAATTTCCAGGAAGTGTTACGTAGAAAGCATCAAGCTGAAAAAGGGCATGTTCCCTAAGCGTGAAATCAAGAAAGTTTGTTCGGGAATAAAGATGCCAGGAGAAGTTCACAAGGATCGAGAGACTCCCCTCCAAACAAGCGAAGACATTGGAGATTAAAAGCCCAAAAGGAATGCCCTTTGGCGCCACTTACTCTATTGTCATTTGTTTGTTTTCTTTATCGTTATTTAGTTGCTTTATGGCTATTTTTGATTAGGTGAGTATTACATTTCTTTCGCTTGTAAGAACATGATGTTTGCTTGGATGCACATTTTTTCCTCTATATCTTGTATGCGACAAGGGTTTTTAATGAGGCTCCTCATTTTATTACTCTAAAGAATTTGCATTTATTATCAATTCCTTTTGCAGGAAACCTAGAGGTTTTGGAGAAGATCGCCCTTAAAGGCGATTAAAATGTTAGATCCCTAAGAGGGACCCTTGTCGCTCTTATAGATGATTAAAATGTCAGATCCCTATGAGGGATCCTTTTCATTCTTATAGGCGATTAAGTTGTTGGTTCCCTAATATGGATCCTTTCCGTCCTTAGAGTAAATCAAAATATTGTATCCCTAAGAGGGATCTTTTCCGTCCTTAGAGGAGATCAAAATGCAGGATCCTTAAGAGCGATCCTTGCCACCCTTAGAACCTATAAAAATGCAAGATCCCTAAAAATGATCCTTACAAACCTTACTGGAGATCAAAATTATGGATCTCTGAGAAGGATCATTTCCACCCTTCAAGGCGATCAAAATATTGGATCCATAAGAGGGATTCTTGTCACCTTAGAGGCGATCAAAATGGTGGATCCCTAAGAGGAATTTTGGCTGCACTTAGAGGAAATTGAAATGAAGGATTCCTAAGAGGGTTACTTGCCTCCCTTAGAGGAAATCAAAACACAAGACCTTCATGAATGATTCTTGATGCCTTTAGGGGAGATCAAGCACTAAATCCCGATAAGGGATCTCTATTTCCCCTAGGTAAGAAAGGTGTTGCCTATGAATGGATGGTATTAACTTATAGCCCCAAATAGGGGTCAACACAATCACGCAAAGATGGATATACAAAATATAAAAGAGAAGATAGGTAATTTACATAAAATACACCCTAGGGGAGCCGTTGTCTTAGTGCTTATAAAAATCCCTCATAGGAGAAAAAATACAACAAATACCACTAAGGGCCAAAGAACCCAACAATAAACTCATTGATTAATCCTTATATCGAGTTGCCTAATTTTCTTTGGCTTCCTTTGGAAATGGAGATTTAGATTCACCTTCTTTCATTACCACATTGACATCCTGGGAGTCCTTGGCTGGAGAAGTTCCTTTGGGCTCCTATGGGGATACCTCATCCTTATTCAGCATATGGCCATCACAGACAACTTTAAATAATTCCAATTTGTTCGGATCCAGTAAGGGATAAAAGAATGAAACTTGCTCTCTTGCCCACTAAAATTAGACACTAGAGATCGACACCAATTCATCCCTGAGATATGATACCTTGTCCTCTAACTCCTTTTTGGAATGGATGTTGTCTTCCAGAAATGTTCTCAGAAACTTCTCCTTATCGATGATCTCTGTAGCCTTGGCTCGTGCGGCATATATTTTTTTCTATCATGTGTCCTTGCCCTTCTACAAGGCCTACAACAACTTTTGGATTTCAGAGTAGCTATCCTCATATTTCTTGAGCTTCTACCTCGACTCCTTTTTGGCCTGGTCTCTTCTCCCTTAGTGAATATTCTCCAATATTAACAACCTCGATAAAAGGTTATCCTTCATGATGATAAGTGTAGAAGGCGACATATATTGAAGAGCCTTCTGATCATCGGGGAACTTCTCATAAAAGAGGATATGGGAACCTATGAATTTGATAGCATCAAAGTCAACATCACTTCACAAAGTAAAGGGTGGTAGAGCCTCACCATTGGAGGGCTTCTGATTACTCTCCTCTCCTAAAGCAAGTGAAAGTATACCATCTCCAACAACTTGTGAAGAGCCCTCTTATAGTTTATAGGACTTCATGTTAGGAGAACCATAAGGTTTCCCCTCGTCTTTCTTTTTTCTTACTTTAACAACAAAGCCCTATAGACGACTCTTGGGGCTATCAGTTTTCCCATTAACGACTTGAATTTTGTCCAACCTCTTCCTCTATTCCTCTAGTGTAATCTTCGCTATCTAATTTTTAAAACAATGTATAAAGGTCACACACTCTATTTGGAAGCATCCATAAAGAATAGGAGGTTATTCAAAACTTACTCTAGTAATCATCGAGGGAATCACTGCCCTTTATCCATACATTAATCATTAGGCATGAACACATGACCTCAAACTTTCCCTAGAGGAAAACTATCCTCACCTCTATGAGGGTAAGGTACTTACTGTCATATCTTATGATCTCCACATGCTCATCCATCCATGTCAAGGGAAAGAGGGGGAGCCATCAACTCCTACCACTATGAGAGCGTCCTCCCGCCCCTTCTCTCGGGCAAACATGTCTCTTCGATTCTTGTAGTGGTTGGAGTGAGGCTTAAAATGGGTTTTTCTCGACATACCACCTAAGGACACCCGACCACCTTTCGAAGGTTGGGTAGCATAAAATGAGAAAAATATCCCAAAGTAGGGGAAATCTACAAACCTTCACACAACATCTCAAAGGAAATGATAAACCTCAACTATTATAAAGTAGTTGGGAAGGAGAAACATTGAGGACCATCTGGACTTCTATGACAAAAGAGGA